GTAATGCTTAATTCAATTTTGTCAGAATTACATTATTTACAGAAATTAATTTCAGATTAAATAAGAAAATGTGTTTTCATGTCATGAACATTTGTGTTTTTGCTCATAATTATTTAGTAAAACTTTTCATTGATACATTAGATTATAACTATTTAATTTTTATGTATAATTCAATTGTATCTGTTAGATTTATTTTATTTTGTATGATAACATACTTTAACAGATGTAGATAAAAGATCGATTATGTTATTCTTTTATAGTCATTTGTAAAAAAGGTAGCAACAAAGGTAACAGATTTGATACCACAAAGATCATGGATTAGTAAGTGGTTCAATTCTTCTCAAAATGAAGATGATATATTAGACGATACTGAGAACCGTGAAGAGATAGAGTCCGAAGAAGATATTCAGAAACCTCCACCTTTGAAACGACCATGTATTCGTATGGATGTCACTCATCCACCCGGTACCTTTACAATTCAACCAAGAACTAAAGCTCCGCTAAATCAAGCCAGTCCTTCTAAGCAACAATATTCGGTTCATAATGTAACGGTAAATATAATTTTTTATGAACAATAACCATGATAAAGTAATTTTCTTAATTTTATAATAATTTCTTGCAGTCTGAAGATTTTTCTGAACCTGCGATGGCTGGACCAAGTGGGGTTAACTGTTTAGTATCTTCCACACCTGCAACGCAACCGGATATTAGAAATATAGTCCCTCAGAGACCTGAGTTACATTCATTAGTTACTGCCACAAATAACGGAACCACAAATGGTATTGATGATAATTCAGAATCCAGTGAGAGCACCAGTGGTTGTAGCTCTCTTATTCCACAAACAATTAGGCAAGAGGCTACATCGAATGTACCTTATAGCTCTCCATTTTCCAATAGAAAAAGATTTAATAATGAAAAACTAACTTTTAGTAAGTAATACTTTTCTTTGGTGGATCTTAATAAAAAAAATATATATTTATTAAAAATTGTTTAATCAATATATATTTTAACATAAATATTTTCCTTTTTATTCTAGCCAATCATACACCATCTCCAAGGTCTTTGTTTTTAGATAGTAATCGATATACTATGAGTAGTCGCAGACCAAGTTTTAACGCGTCAGTTATGACAAACACGCCGGATCGTGCTTCTCCGCTGTCATCTCCATTTTACAGTGGAAATATTACTTTTGGTGGAGCAAATGCAGCTGGTCTTTACAAGCAAGGTCGCAATTTGTTCATTAGTTCCAACGAGGTATATTCAATTGAATGTTATTACTACTTAATTAAAATTTAGTTAAATATTATTACTAATAACTATTTCGCGTGCTTCAACTATTAAAAAATGACTTCTTTTTATAGGTTCAACTTAAAGTTCCAAGAAGAACAAGCGTTGAAGTAAAACCATCTAACGCAACTGGGGTTGATTCATCTGGCATGAGTCAAACTGCTAAGAAAATATTAGAAGCCCTAGAACATTTCTCATCGCCGATAACGGACGCTAAGAAAATTCCTCTGAATACATCGATGAGCGCAAAAAGAGCTAGAGAGGAGACATCACCAACGGTCAAAGTTGGGCTGCGTCATTTAACGCGTCAATTAACTGTACCGACCGTGCCCGACATATTAAAATTGAGACGGCGTCAGAAATTACAGGACACTACACTTGCAGCTAGAAAAATTGTTTCGGCTCGGAGCGAACCACCACCTCCACAAGAATACCATCTCAGGTAAATATTTACTTAAATTGTGTAAGTTTTGTGAAGGTATTCATTTTTGCAATTATATATTTAAAAAAAATACTGTCGTTTTAGAACACAAGATGATGAAGATTCAAAACATCAAGGAAAACTTAAAGTTAAAATGACAAATCTTGACGAAGAAGAAACAGTTCAACCAGTCAATTTACCAAGTATACCTTTGCCAATATCTTCTTTACCAAATTTCAACTTTACGCCATCAGGTAACTCAAAATCGGTAGATAAAAATTTCGCAACCAAGGAAGAAACCTTTACATTCGCAAGTCCTATCAAAATAACAAATGTCACAAATAGTCTGAAGTCTATCAATAACTTCACGTTCAGCAGTCCTATAAGTGCTGATAACCAAACAATTGAAAAGTCTAACAATTCGAGTTTACCTACAAAGAGAAGTAATGCTAAATCTGCTACATCATCTAGTAATTGTGTGCCGTCTGTAACGCAGAATTTTGTCTGGTCTGGCTCATCTACAGCGCCCAGACCAAAAGACAAATCAAAAAGCACAGAGAAATTTATTCCTACTGTTTCGAGTGAATTAAAATCAGGAAGTGTCATGGATATTTTCAATTCTAAATCTACTAGAATTGAACCTGAAAAAGCAAATAATATAAAACCCCAATCGGAAGATAAGGGAAAAGAGGATAAATCCGTAAGTTCAAAATCTGGTGTACTGCAAGATAGTTCAACCATGTGGGAATGTTCCGAATGTTTAGTTAAAAACAACAATTTTGAAACCCAGTGCTTTGCTTGTAAAGCTGCGAAACCGTGTCTTAAAAATAACAAAACGTGTGAACTACCATCAACATCTTCCAATGCTAGCGAAACAAAGACTACGGCTGTCAACGACCATTTCGGATCTCAGTTTAAACTTTCAAGTAATCAATGGGAATGCCCATCCTGTTACTTAAGAAATAAGCACACAGATAATAGATGTCCTGCGTGTAATGCACAAAAACCAGATTCTGAACCAAGCGCAGGAAAAATACCAAACTCTAACAAAAATAACGTCAAAGACTCAGAAAAATTTGAAGGAAGCTCCGATTGTGTGTTAAATAATTCTGCAAATTCAACTGAGCACACTTCTTGCAATGTATCTAAATCAAGTCTGTTAAAATCTAGTGCTAAAAATGATGAAAACATCGCTGATGATTCAAATTCATTAAACAATCAAAAGACTAACACATCGATCAATACACCATTAAATAATTTAGCTGTTAATAAAAATGAAATTATGGATAAATTCAAGCCAAGTAAAGATACTTGGGAATGTCCTTGTTGCATGGTTCGAAATGCTGCTTCGGTGGATACTTGTCCATGCTGCAATACAGCCAAACCCAGCATTGGAGTACCAACTAAAGTTCCTGCGCCATTGGTTGCAAACGGATTTGGAGATAAATTTAAGAAACCAGAAGGTGCATGGAATTGTGACACTTGTATGTTACAAAATGAGGCAAAAGTTACCGAATGTGTTTGTTGCGGTGGTTTGAAGCCTGGGACAAAGAAAGTAGACAATTCTATTACAAACACGAGTTCCAATTTACAGTTTAGTTTCGGAATTCCAGCAACTACCGGCGACTTCAAATTTGGAATAGATAAAACTGATCAACAAAAGACTGATAACGCAAGTAGTTTTAAAGTGGTAGGTTTAAATTCTGCGGGTTCAACCAATCAAGATGGTCAGTTTACGTTTGGCATTCAGAAAGAAGATAAAAAATCAACAAGTGAAATATCAAAACCTGAAAACACTACTTCAACAGTAGCAAATTGTTTTGGATTCCAAACAGATGCGAAATCTAGTGAAAAGATTGACGCAAAACAGGATTCAGAGAAAAAAGATAAAAAACCAGTATCCACATTCTCATTCGGTATACCGAAAACTGAAAGTACTGTAGCTAGTGATAAACCATCTGTCACTATACCACCTTCTACAACACTACCGTCTACGTTTACATTTGGTGTCTCAAAATCTGAAACTAAAGAAACAGATAAAGATAAAGGAAAAGAGAAACAGGATTCGTTATTTGGAAATACAGTAACACAGGTTTCAAAATCAAGCACAGAAATTATTGATTCTTCGACTGCTATTAAAGCTAATACATTAACTACAATTTCTCAGAATATTTCACAGGAAATTAAACCAACTGCTGTCTTCACATTTGGTGTTCCAAGCACTACGGCTGTAATCAGTAATAGTATCTCTACAAGTATAGTGACAAGTCTTCCATCTAGTACTCAATCTTCCTTTGCATTTTCTGATACTAAACCAGTGCAAACATCTATACCCACTTTTGGTCAAATAGCAACATCAATACCTGCTTCTACTTCATCTAATACCTTCACTTTTGGTGACAACAAAACTACAGACAAAGGTTTACCACCTAAATCGTTCAGTGCGTTATCAAACGATTCATCTGGAAGTTCAATATTTTCTAATGTTTCAACTACTCCGTCATTATTTGGCAATACAGATGCAAAGACTATACCATCATTTGGTACTGAAGAAAAGAAACAACCCACTTTTGGTGCGAGTGCAAGTAAGCCATCTGCTTTCGCGATACCAGACAATAAAATACCAACATTTGGAACCACAGAGAGTAAACCTTCGATTTTTGGGACATCTGATACAAAATTACCCGTATTTGGGAATGCAGATAACAAAACAACGCCATTGTTTAATACAAATCCGCAAGCTCCAGCAGCAACACCTGCACCAACATTTAATGCATCGTCACCTACTCCAGCTCTTTTCGGTACATTTGCTACACCCCCTGTGTTTGGTAGTAATACTTCCACGACATTCAACAATGATTCAAAGCCTAATATATTTGGATCTAATTCAAAGCAAGGTGAAACTAATACACCAAGTTCGAATTTGTTTACATTCAACTCTACTCCCGCTCAACCAGTAGCACAACCAGGAACTGGCTTCAACTTTTCTGCAAATACTAACCCGGACAATTCAGCTCAGAAACCACTATTCACATTTGGCAGTAGTACAACGTCGCCACAAGGTAGCAATGTATTTGGAAGTACATTCAACAAGCCTGCTGCAAATACTTCTGGTCTCGCATTTGACACACCTAAACCGAAAATACCAACATTTGGTCAGTCCGCTGTTTCGAACCCAATCTTTGGAGTACCTCAGTCCACAACTCAAAATCAACCGTCGTCATCATTTATACCTAATTCGAATGCAGGATTTAATTTTGGATCTGCAGCACCTGCCACATCTTCAGGAGGTTTCAATTTTGGTGCAGTTGTAAGTGGAAGATATCTTTCATTTTTTTTCTTGATAGACTTAATATTGTTCTGCTATTAAATGAATGGATTAAACAATTAAATCTACACAGAGCAAAATTATTTTAAAAGTTATTAAAATGTATATATAGTTTTTTTAATTTTTCAATATCTATACAATATACAAAATTTATATACTATATTACATTCATATATTTTGTAGGCATCTACGCCTGCATCATCTACAGGATTTAATTTCAATCCTCCTGGTACTACTCCAACATTTGATCCCAACACTCCGCCGTCATTTAATTTCACTGGTGGAAATGCACCTGTCATGTTCAGGTAGATAGAAAACAGAAATACTTTTTAATCGAATTAAAAACCAGCGGAAGTATTTATGTAAATTTTATATGGTCTTTTCCAGTGGTACGCCTCAAGCAGTAACGCAAAGGAAAATTAAGAAAGCTTTCAGAAGAGTGCGGTAGAAAGCAAATAATGTATAACTCTAATTGCGTATACACTTGGCTGCATTTTTACATCTATTTTATGCAACTGTATATGCGAGAATATAGTTTCCAATGTGTATGCTAAAAGTTACAGTATGGTACAATGAAAAATATCACATAACGACTGGTCACATTAACGTGGGTGGTATACCAAGCACTTTATGTAATATATGTAAGTCTGCCAATGGGATATGCTTGTGTGCAACCACTTGTGTTCTGCAGGATCTGTAAATTATAAATTATTTAAATTATACAATAATAACGAATGAATACTTGACACGTTGGCATGAAGCCACTTTTACGAATAAAGCAGAATGGTAGTGTAAGAGCATTACCAATACCCTATCCAATTGAGACACTATGAATATTATATATATATATTTACTGATGTGACATGAAAAGAACAAAAGGAAACTACTATACTGGAACAGAGCACCTCGATAAAGAAACTTAATGAACACTGAGTGTGTGCACTTATCGAGGATAATCATAAGGTAAGTATAAGTCGTTCACAGCTCGTGACATTTCTCATAATTGAATGCATTAGTTAACAAGATTGCGTTCTTTTTCGTGTAATGAGAAAATTCGTTTTCGTTTATTTTTCTTTTTTTTTGGAATAAGAAAATGTTGCAGAAAATGGAATAAATTTTATACATAATATAAAAAATATAAAATATAAAAAATATCTGAAGAAATTTATTGCATTATTCATTCATTTTCTGTTCTCTCTTTTATAATTTTTTATCTGTTACACGAGTGTTGTGAATCGACCGAATATCAATGAAGTCCCACTGCATCTAGACATTAATTATAGTTTAATTAGGATTTTTTCATGGGTAGTTCTACAATCCTTGTAGCGCTGTTCTAAGAAAAAGTTGTGTATCATACACGGAAAATGGCATTCGGATAGTACAAACTCAACGATTATTGAACGACTCGCATCGAGTAGTCGAAAAATTGTATATTTTTTTTATATATTGAATGAATTAACCATATAAGTGAAAAACTGAATGCCATTTTAATAGAATTAAACATACACTAATGTTGCGTGTTTTATCGTAGCGTGAGTGGGTAAAAAAGCGGATCGTGAAGTGCGCTGAATGGAAATAAATTATTACGGGACTTCTAAAGGGTTACGCTTCTTCTTTTTGATTTTTTTGATTTTGTTAACGAACCGAACGTGTCTTTGATTCTCATTTTATGAGGATGTATCACTCTATGCTCCCATGAAACTTGGAATATTGGAGTAGAAATAATAGGGTATTAAAGAGAAATTATGGTAGATTATCGAAAAAAAAGAAAAAAAAATTAAAAGAATAAAAATATTTTAAAAAGTTCTCAATGAGAAATAATGTTATTTGTAACCCTTTTATTTTTAGTTCATGACGTTTGTTTTCGGGTAGATGCTTATAATTCTTTTTTATAACGTGTTTACACACTAACGATTTTACAAGATCAAAGAATCGCATATTCTTTTACAACGAGTGCAATTTTACCGAGAGTGATATTAGCTTCTGTAAATGTAATTAGAATTACATTTACACAACTACAATCGTTGTAGCAATCAATGTAGCAGACGTCCTTTTTAGAAGTCCCTAAAAACAGAAAGTAGTTAGTCGACGCGTCAACGATTATTGAATTAACATTGAATCGTACACGTCTTATTTAAGATTAGGATAGTTATCTGTAATGTTGGCTTAAAATTGACAGTAGCCAAGAATAACTCGGCACAAGACCCACCTTCTGCCATAGTAGATGCGTACATATTTAAAAAAAAGAAAAGAAAAGAAGAAAACTGTTACATATTGTTACACTGTACGTTGTGTAGTCTTTACATTGTAGATTTTAAGGCATTTTTAGTTTCTGCGTACATTATTGAAAAACAACAGTAAGAAATTCAAACAAGTCTTGATTTCCTGTTGATAATTTACAAGTCACATGTTTTGCAAACACCCTTCGTAGCTTGTGTTTAATATGCTACAATAGTGTTACGCAGATCACATAAAAAACGTGTATATCTATTTCTTTGTATAATTAAAGTTATTACTTTCGTCGATAAAACCTTAAATTGAGATCTATGTCGATTCTGTAATTGAAGTTAAATAGTTGTAACGTTTTTTAATGTTATTCTTTGTACAAACAAATGGATTTTATCTACGAAGGGTTCTTCTACACTTAGGTCTCATTGTAGAAACTGAAAAAATTGTAACATTGTATAAATAATTATCAGCTGAAATACTAGCCAATGATAAAGTGAGGCTGCGCTGAGATATGTCTACGCTGCTGTCTTACACCGTGAACATTCTCTGTCAAGGCTGTGTCGTCCGTTTGTCTACCCCTAGACAAATTTCCAAATTACATGAATATATCAAATGCTGACCTAAAGGGATTAGCACCTTTGTATTAAATCTCGTATATGGCCTTAAAAAAAGATACATACTGAGCGTATGACGTAGATGTATTAACAATTGTAAAAAGAATTGTATTGGAATTGTTTTGTAGCAGTTTGTACTCTCCGTTGCAATATGTTTACAGAAATATTTGGAAAACATTGCATTAAAATTGTTCAACAATAGATACGTAACATCTCATGACTTCTGGAATGCTTGTTTGTCTTTTTAATGTACAGAAATTGCTATAACCGACACAAAATTATCGTTCTCAAATGAAACATTTTATTATTTGCTTCACAAAAGTTCTTGACTGCATAGTATGAACAATATAAATTCCATTCTAAATTTATGTTCACGAAAATGACAATTATGAAGAATATTAGATAATGTATTTACACCCAAAGATCCTGTAAGTTATGAGGTGTTCAAAAGCGAGTCAAATGTTCTGAGGCCTTATATTATAATCTTAGTCCATGAAAATTTACTATACTGAATTCACATGGATATCCGTAACAATTCTATTGAGAATGTGCAGTGAGAGAGAACAGTATTCGTACACCATTTTCGACACGTTTATTTTCTATTGTTAATAACAGTTTCCAGTATAATATAATATTCAGTTTAAGATTATTTTCAAAGTGTTTTTAAAAATATGTTTTATTATTATTATATTAATTATATTATAAGTTAAAATTTCTATCACTAACTGAAAGGAAGAGACAATTGTGTACGTATCCTTTCTTCTCGTACTACATTAATCGGTGATTTCTGATAATGTTCACAATATGAGAGAATTTATGTTATAAAATAAGTCCAATGACTGACTCTGTAATTAAATACAATGTACGTGAGAGAATGTTCACTGTATGCTTCAGGTGCTTATGGGAATGTTAACAGCATTCCCATGACATGGTGTAACATTAAGTAACCTTGTGTAATGGGAGTATCGGTGTTTCTCAACCCGATGAACCACTCGCACGATTCCAGTAATCTTTATTCGCACAAACGAAGCAAGAAAATGATATACGCTTAATCTGATAATCGAACGTTCTTTCAGGGACAAGAGGTTGTAAGTGTTTTATTTAAGAAAGTACGGCCATTGCTGTTTATTTGTAGCCCCCAAAAACACGTAAATAATGAGACGAACGAGTCGACGGGGTGGAAATAATGAATATATATCAAACTAGGAATGGAAATCTATGTAATAATGTAATTATAGCGAACGGAAACCTCGATAGCCTCATATTGTATAATTTATTAAATAATATACGACGTTGCTTAAACGGCGGTAAATAGTTTTGTGATGACGAGGGCTATTGAGCTCTGGGCGTTGAGAAACACCGTAAATAGGATTATACAACATTCACGTTAACATTATTACCATTATTCTGAATACTATCCTCTGTACCCCATAATACTTATATTATACGATACTAGGATACATGAAACTATCGATTTGAGAACAATGTTTAATTTTTGGGTTTACAATTTTATTTCGTAGCTAATAAAGTAACAAGTTTAGGAGGGCATTTAGATGATAATAATAATAGTAATGCGAATCAAGGAGTTTCATCGACAGTACAATTATTATAAAATTTAATTGCACTTTGAATTCTCTGAAAATAGTGAAATGAATAATAAATATTAAACTAAATAAAAACCCTTTGGTTCGCATTCAGAAAGTAAACTCGAACTCTTCGATCGAATGTATTTGTTTTACGATTACGTTTTCACGTTGTCTTTTTACTTCTTATAAGTGTCGAGCTCACTCCTTAACAGTTCCTCAAAGAAATAATACGAAGTAAGAAATCCATACTATATTCTACTGTAATGTTCGTGGATTTTGTTCGTGGCTAATCCATATATGTGGTACATCGTTCTACGTGCTATTAAAAATATTTTATTTTAAACGATCAATTAAACCGATCATTCTTTTAGTATCTCAAACGTAATTAGAGTGAGTTTTATTTCGTATCTCTAAGGACGTCGTTCAAAATACGCGATGGATGAGGGCTTTTATTCAGCATGAAACACAAGTCCTCAGTTAATTATGAATTATAAATTCCACTTCATTGTTAAAGCTCGCAACATCTACTGCGAAAACTATGTATTTGATTTTCGCTTACAACAGCTATACAATAATACAACGTAATTTTCTTATGTTGCACAGCTGTACGAGGAGTTATGCAAAAAAATAAAGATTATCTATGATTATAATATACCAAAGTGTTTGATTTATTCATTCGAGTTGACACGTTCTGTACAGATTATTTCCATTCATAATAACGTTAATATTCGGATCAAAAACATTTAGAGTTAATAGCGTACATTGAATTGAAATTAATTATAAATCTCTAAAGTTATTTACAAATTTTATACAGATATGTAAAGCATGTTTTTTCATTTCAATGTTTGTTTCTATCTGTAACGCAAGATGAAACACATTACATATATGAAGATGCCTATGCAAATGAGAAACAATATTCTTTTGAACAGCTTATGGGAGTTAGGTGTGTGACAATGACGGTAAAGAACTGAATTAAAACTTCTGGCACGAATTTTATTCCGAGATTTACAACAAAAATGTTTTCAACTAGTTGAAATGCCGCTTAATCCTGGGATATGAAACATTGACACGTATATAACATAGGTAATACAAGTCGATGTGGACAATTCAATAGTTTGCAATGAACTGATAGAATAGATTCATTTTTCTATTTACTTAGTGTTGTGTCTGCGTGTTGGATAGGCCTTCTGTGCTTCCCAGAGAGGTGGGTTTTCCTCATTGGTAGCAGGACTTGGCTGATTAATGGAACAGCCAACCCTCTCTGGATAGCCCATACTCCATTACTATTTTATCACTTCTATCATGATATTATAATTTAGGTACAATCTTAATTATTCAATATTAATGAGAATATTAATAATTATGTTTTATTTTTTTGCATGAATTAATTATAGATCGTAATTATAATTACTTTATAAAGTTTCCTTACACTAAGAATCATCAGACATGAAGGAATTTTGGGATTTTAGTTCCTCCAGTGTTTGAATTTGTTGACGGAGAAATAATATCCTAGAATACCAAAGAAGAATAGTTTATCGTCTTAAATTTTATAAAACAAAAGAGCAGACTGGTTGATTACTTGACAAACTAATAATCTACCTAAAATAAGCGAAACGATACTCACCTTTGTTCCTGCAGCGTTGCCTGAATTTCTGTCAGCCTCACTATCGATCGTGCCGTTTTTAATTCTGCCGACACTCTTGTACACTGCAAACTCCCCATTGTGTGTGCTTCTTCGCTAAGTTTCTGTGCCTGTAAGTCACAGTTGCAAAAGACACTTTTCGTAATATCATTCGCGCGAGTACATGATAGAATGGATTTAATGCTTTCAGGACAACAATCTATTTACCTGTTTTTCAAGGATATCAGCAGGAAAGGCACGCACATGTTGCGTCAAATCTTCCCGATAGTGATTAGCAAGTGATGGTGTTAAAGAAGGTGTTAAGGGAGGCTGTACTCTAGACAATGCCTGTAAACCTGTATTACTTAAATTTCCAAGGGAACCTAGTGTGCTAAGACTTTGCAACGAGCTTAAACCTTGTACTCCAGTATTCGTCCCACCAGGACTTGTTACTGTGAAAAAGAAATAAGGACATAGATATACTAGATGAAACACATTTCTTTGGCAAGTACTGAGTAGTGTCATAAATAAATTTAGTTATTGACATTGAAAGTTTACTGAATCTTAATTTAAATAATAGCAATAAAAATATTCAGATTCCATCGCAATTCATGGCAAGGAGGCAAAACAAAAAAGAAAGAAAACAAGGTATGGAGGGGGGAGGAAAGTTAAAAAGAGTAAAGGAATTTAACTTTTTATAGTCCAGTAGTATACATGGTATACTAACAAATTGTAAGATTCAGCACAGTTTTGATGATCAAAATTAAGTTCTGAATGGAAAGAAAAAATTACTGTCATTAACAATCTTACTCATTTAATTTTATAAATATAAACAAAATTTTAAAACAGAAAGCATTTCATTAATCTTTTCTAACAATGTTCAGTAGAAAAATTTGTTTTTGTATCTTAAGAACTTTTTTCTATAAAAAATGAAATATTCAGATGTTAAATTTACGAAAACACAGAGAAACTGTTAAAAGCAAACATATTTATTTGAGCGGGTATAAGGAAGATAATATAGGAAATTTAAGAATGAATTCACATGAAAGGTTAGGGTATATAGTATTACAGAAAGCAGGAAAGAAAAATAATTTGGAATAAGGAAGAGGAATATGAACGTCAACGAGAAAATTAGAAAATGTAAGAAAAAAAGAAATAAATAAAATGTATAAAGATTTAGATAGTTGTTAAATATAAAAGAAAGGGAAGAATATCTAAAAAGAAATTGATATTAACAAGAAAGTAGAAATAAGAAAAATTCGGAAGATAAATACAATTTATATACAAAACATGTGAAATATGCAGAATGTTCAACTATATAAAATAAATATTTTTAAAATATTTAATTCATAAATATTTTAAAAGATGATCATATAAGTCAAAATAAAATATGATTTTTATTTCATTTTCAAATTATTAATGATCACTAAGTTCTCTAAATTACGACGATCCACCAATAGCAACACACTTGAAGTGAACAATGCAAGCATAAACGGTGATGCGTTGTGTGAAACGTATGACTTTTCGCGTCGCTATTAGTAGTAGATTTTAATGGTTAGAAAGTTAAAAAATGAAGCCAAAGTCACATTTTCGTCACTCTTATTTTTCGTCTTATTTTGGCTTATACAATTATCATCAAAATATCTATAAAACAGTTGAATTTTCTATATGCAACAAATAAGACATACCTGAAAAGGGGTGAAGACAAGGAGAGTCATAGTTCAAAGGGTGATAAATATTTTCTGAGATATTATAGGAAGTGTGATTAGCATAAAAGATAATGGAACCATTGGAATATTCGATGCAGGTCTAGAAAAATAAGTAGAAAAATATAGGAAAAAGCTGATAGAAAAAGAAATAATTAAGTATAGACGTTGGGATTAAAAACAAGGGAACACGGCAAAGACTGAAAGCAATGAGAGAATAAATGCGCGTGTTGATAAGAAAATATGATACAAGTAATGCAAATGTATATCACATGTACGTATGTACGTATGTATTTCTGTATCATGTTTCTGTTCCTTGTTCAAACGTATAAATAAATAAATAAATTGGTACTACTAACGCTAATTATTCAAAATGTGTAACACATTGTAAAGTATTCTAAAATGATAATGTAGACAAGATCAACAAAAATTTCTTATGACTAAACCTAATAGTATAAATTTGTCGTATGTTGTTGACGTACATTTTCGAGCGTCAATGCAGTCCTGGGTCTCCGAATGTGTGGGAGTAGGTGGTCCCTCGCTTGTAACGATACCGCTTGTATCAACTTTAAGCGGCACCATTACATCATTTCCACTATTATTCCGGTCTCCACTTGTCGACTGCTAAAAAGACCACGTACACAAAAAATGTTGATACCTATGTTACATTATAATTAATAAAGTTGTACCGCTATTATTATTGTTACTGAATATTATATATCTACTTAAGAGTTGACTTCACATGCCGGCGTGAACGTCGCTAACGTAGCTAATATATAATACAATATTAAAATAAATCAACATTAATAAGTAAATTATTTAACAAATTATTATTTACCCACAATTAGTAATCTGAAGTCAGAAAACTAGACACGTGACAAAAGAATGCACTTCAATATATTTTTTGCAAACACTATTATTGCCACGATCTATGACTGAACATATAGAATCATGTCCCTACGTGAATGGTTAAACGATCCAAACGATTGTTATAAACATTTTTCACATATTGAATGCAAAAAATTTTTTCATCAAAGATGAAAGAAATAAATTAGAAATAGTGATCTTTACCAGAATAAATATTAATATAAAATGAGTTTATTTACAAAATGTAGAATAAGAAAATACACTAAACAAAAAAGCATTGAAAAAGGTTCTGAAAATTTTTATACTTTTTTTCCGTTCAGAGTACTAAAAGTTCTCTAATACTTGCAAATATAACTGGTTATATAATCTTTTTTCCTCATTTTCACATTATGGAGAACAATACACCATTTGCAATTTAGTAAAAAGAAAAACACATTTATTATTTCCCTACTATTTTCCCTTGTTAATACGTATATAAATCATTTATTTACGTATAGCCACAGATAATAATTATATAATTTTTAAAATAAAAAGGGTAAAATTCATATCAGGCCATTGCTTAAAAAATCAAATGCGATTCTCTAATGACATGACTATATTGTTAATTACCTGTCGAGATAACAAGATGGCAGCTGTTTGAAGTGTTTGCAGTGCCTTTTGTGGTGTAATATCAGGCTGTTCCTTGTTGCCTGTGATTTGAGATAATAATCTCGGTAGATTTGCTAATGAAACCGGTGGTCCTGGAGCATTGCTATTCCCTTGCTGCTGTTGCGTTGGCGAATTCAGTTTTCCAGGAGTTTGTGGTGTAGATGGGGGGTGTGATGTTAATCGAGGTAACGCTGTAACCATTCATCAACTCATCGTCACATTTGATCTTTCAATACTAGAGTGCGAATCTTTACACATTTATAATATACAGTATGCTCGTACTTAAAGATAACAAACCATTACTTTTTATATTTTGGATTTGAATTTGTATTCAAATGCATTAACCACAAATAGATGAATAAAAGATAATGTAGTTTTGTTTCAAATATGAAACTTGACTGTCATACCTCTCAAATAAATAATATTACAAATTATTTACCTCTCTCAAAGAGTGTGCCCTATCATAGAAATATTTTCTGATACTCACATGGTTTACTATCTTCAAACATAGATGTACTGTATATATTAGAATTTCATTGCTCAGTAAAATTTAACAATATGCCCTTTTACAAGAGAAAGGAATTTAAATTTTCATATAAGCTCTATTATTCTTTATTAATGAATTTATAAAAATGCGAATTTGTATAAATCGCTTGAACTTGAACATACCAGTGGCCAACAAAACAGGGCCTTGAGGCAGTGGATCGTGAGTACAAGATGTCAAGGGTTCGGAGGTCGGTGTAGAATCACCTGGTGAAATGTCCATATCCTGGGCTTGACGCTCCACTCCTGCATCCTCTCTACATTGTTCCCGATCTCTTTCTCGTTCCCGTTCTCTCTCCCGTTCTTTTTCTCTTTCTCTTTCCCTAACTGAAACTTCTTCTCTACTGCTACCACCGCCGCTTCCACTGCACGAACTCCAGTACTCTCGTTTGTCAGATTGACGCGACGATTTACCATCTCGCACACTGCTACTGCTATTCGACCGCGAGTTGGAATGTTTATCGTGACCTGAAAGTAAAAAGAATCGAAGACCAATATTTCATGAACTGAACAACAATATTTTTTCTATATCATGATAGTTTCTAAGAATTAGAAAAGTTCGAAACTTGTATATATAAATTTAATTAAATTACTTTACCGGTTAGTTAATAAATTTAAGAATAAAGTACCTTTGTGGTGTATTGTATAGGAAATAAAGCAAAGTTATCTGTAACTTTTATAGTACAAAGGTCATAAGTTTCCGAAAAAAATAATGTAATTAATGATGTGTTAACTAATTTGTTCAACAAAGATTTACTTGTTAAACCTTTGCGATCGAATGCCACCGTAGTGACGACTTCGAGTTCTAATATCTGAAATTGAAAGCTAATGTTTAAGATTTCGATGCATCATTCATTTCTTTATGAAGTTAAATTTTAAAAGTTTGTGACATTCTCGTCCGCAAAGAGTTAATAGATTTACTAAATTGCGATGTCAGTATTTTAGTCCACTATTAAAGATTTTTAAAAGTATAAATTCATGTACACATATTTTTATGCGCATGCGACAGCAAATGTCATAAAAGAATTTGTACATTTCCTTCGTTATTATTTTGAACAGCGTGTATGTTTTATTAATATATTATCGTTAATTAACATTAGTATTAGTATAATATTGTTTTTATCGGGTTGAGAATTATTTAGTGAAATAATATTGTTAAACGTACTTGACCTAGAAGAATAATCATTGGACTGACGCTGTCGATTATCTGTTCGACTGATCCATTCCCGTGGTTTTTCCCACTGAGAGACTTCCGTTTTACAGTTGTAATAATACTTCTTGCCCGAAGAACTCATATGCTCAGACCAATCACCGAACCTGGCCGAACGTTCCATTGTACCTCCTCGTTCATCACCGCGTTTGTCCTAAACAGACTGTTCTAAAATGTCCGGAAACGATTGAGTGGATAGAAAAAAATATTTATTTGAATTCCAAAACTTGTGTCGTAAAGTTGAAATTACATTTGCCCATTTTGTTGATCTCCTGTTTACCTATCAAATTTCCCATTCTTGGAAATCTCTTAACATTCAGAGAGAATACGCACCGCACACTTTTTAAGTATAAAGTACTGTATTCTGCATTAAGTACAATATTGATAAAATCACGTACTAATAAATAATCATGAAACTTCATCAGAAAATTTTAATTAAATTTTTTCAATTTTAGTAAATATACAAGGTGTTTTATAATGTGTGGAATGAATTCAGATGAAAAGACAAATATATTAAATTAACACGCATGAAATGATTTGAAGATGTTATCTTTTCTTACAGCAAATTTTCAAAATATATCTCTTTTTGCATAATAACAAATTTATTAAAAAACTATGCAATGTTATTTTTGTATATTTAATCATAACTTGTAATATTCTGTCTTTTAATACCTTAAAAAAGCATGAAATCCCGTAGATGTAAGAATAAACATATCACAGCAGAAGAGACGAGTTTCTTAACCTTTTTATAAGTAAAAGGAGAATGAATTAATGCCAATTGCATTTCAATATTTATTGAAAATCATACTAATGGAACATGAAAAATTAGTTTTCTTTTGTAAACAGTATTTACAAATAAGAAGAATCACTGTTTAGTTATAGTTTGATGTAGAACACAGTATAAAGCATAAATACCGCATTTTCAATTATTTGTAATAAAATTTCTACCTTATCGCTCTGGCATATACACTGTCTTGGTATCAATCATCGCGGAATATTACAAAAAATTAAACCCATAAACAATTTTTTCAATTCGTAAAACATCTCACATACGGCTTCTGCAACAATACCGTCGTTGGCACTTTTCGCAAGTGTTGCTAATAACAAATATATCGTTGTTCAGCATTAAAAGGATCAAATAATTCTTTTTGTCGGTACAGTTTATTTTTCTATGTATACATAACAAAATAGTAATAGAATAATAATTTGAAATAAAGAAGTAGGCCAAGATAGATGCTCTATTGTTAGGAAGATTGTTCTTCTATAGAATTATCTAAAACGCCTTTCTTTTATAGTATAAAAAGAGCTTATGACTAAAATGTCAAACTTCATCAGAGACATGTACGTAGAAACTTCTTACATCGCTTCAATACATAGAATCAACTATTCAAAAATGCCCCACATATTTTTAAACACCTTGCGTTTAATATTTAAGAATATTTTTGGATTTCATAAATACTTTATCTTCCCATTAATGTTATTAATGTATATTAAAAGATACTTTGTACTGACCTGACAGGAATTATGAGATGGTTTCCTCTGAGATGAAGACTCTCTTGACGAATTTGATGATAACTTTATAGGATGTAAAATCTGTAAGCACGAAGAATATTTTTAATAATATATCATGAATAATGCAAAAGCCATTAAAAAATATTATACATAACCCTAGGTAAAATATTCCAAAGTCCACAAATATGAGAAAATTTTCAAATTAATATTAGTTATGATATTTACTATATAAATTTTTATATGAATAAAGTTGAAATACATATAAAAAAGAAAATGTAAAAGTTAAATGATACTAAAATCAAATATAATTCAAGTATTTATATATTTATATGTAAAGTAAATAACAACTATGTCTACTCTTATAGATCGCAGACTTTTAGATATGCTACTAGCATAGATATAATAAAGATTAACGAAATTATGATTTAGTGCAATATATTTGAAGCATATAATCAGTATTTCATGCAAGTGCAACATATTGCATTTTCTAAATAATTAAATATAAAAAAAACTGACATGTATCAAAATTAAATGGTTAATTGAGATGCAATTTTTCACTCTCTATAAAAAGTATTAAAGTAATTATATTTTAAAACTACTGATTCATAATTCATTTCAATTTTATGCTTCTATAAGAACTCTACATACTAAAAAATATCATTTGATATTTACACTATAAACAAATTTTGAATTATCTTCTTTCGTATTCGGGATACCTTTTCATTCCTTTTCTCGTGTTATTAAGAATTAAGTTACGTCTCTTTCAGTAATTTGTGATTTTTGTTTAAATATTTGGTAAATATTTAAATATTATTTCTAGGTCTATGGTTTTCCAAATAGTATTTAATAATAGTTTAGTATTTTAGTATTCAGTAAATAAAAGAATACTGGTTTTATTATAGATTATAGAACAAACTGGAAATGGAATACGGCAAATAATTCTTAGAACTCTATCCTCTTCAATGTTTATGATATGATCCTAGATCTGTAATCACTAAACTAGCATCCTTATATATCATCTTTAATTTTCAATTATCACATTTTTTTACAGTTGTAAGAATACAGTTGTAATTCTGGATGAACTAGACTTGGTTCAGCTTTCAAATAATTGCTGATCAAAAGTTCAAATTTTCAAATGTAAAACTTGCACAGAAATAACAGGTTAAAATGCAATGAGAAATACATCTTTCTCACGCATGATTCATTATTAATTTTCGTTAATTAGGAGGTACATTGTAATGCAATTTTTAGTAGAACCATCATTAAAAATTATAAAAACGACTTCTTAGTACAAGATTATACGTAATTCCATTATAAGCGATGCCTTGAAGATAATTTTTAATAATTAATAATTCTGCAATTAATGTAGAATCTGCTAGGTAGCCTTACTAATGAGCTTACTATGACTCTTCGAATAGGAATTGCTTCCAATATATACTAGTACTATATGACTTTCGTTTACAAAATAAACCGTATTTTCCATAAATTTTTAAACACATGTGCATATCAAAATAATTAAAGGAACTTAAAATTGAAACAATTTTTTCAAAAATGAATACTTTAACACTTTTTTGTAGACGGTGGAATATCATATTGATTAGTATATACAAAAACACAGGATTCTAATTAACAAGTTGACTGCTAGATCAACACTCGTAAAAATCTCATACAATAGAAATAATTTTCTTAACAAAATTAAAAACTGAAATGTGACAATTTATCACACTTATTCCAAGTTACAGAGAAAATTTAGTTTTAAAAGTATTCTGAGTTTCCATGACATGGCAGTCAAAATGTTAAAGATACAATTACACATTTCAGATGCACCTATACATAAAAATACATAAAGCTAATTTCAGAATACGCTCTATTCCAAGCTATTTAATTTTACCTCAAAACACTTTTTTTGCATCCTTAATCATTTGAAAGAAACAGATCTTATCTCACTATGTGGGACATTCTGTACATTCCAATACTCAAACTTTCAACCATTAGTAACACATGTTTAAATTGTATTTATGAAAAGAATGTTCATTTGGGGATAATGAAATTTAATACTATTCAATGTCTTACCTCTCCACTACTCCTATCGTGGTTGGTCCTGTGTTCTGAATCTCTGCTCTCACGGCTTCTCTTGTCTTTTGGGGATCGTGCACAATCTACACATATGCAAGCAAGCATGTTACAGCTGAAAATGTTAAGACACAACCCTGTTTTTATACTGAAGGAAGGAAATTTAAAATTCTCAAAACAAAAATTAAGTCGTACAGCCTATTTTGCAATAACGCAGTTTTTTAAAGAGAGTTCTTGAAAATTCTATGAGAAAAACAGATGATACTATATTGTTTTCAGAATGTTCATTTTGTATTTTGTACATTCTGATTTTCCATCACATAAATTTCTTATTTCTGTATCAACAAGGTTTAATCTATGAAAACATTTTGAAAATAAAATTAAATATAATTCTAGAAAATATGAATTTTATAATGACTAGTATATAGTTTGTAAATAATTATTTGTACAATATAATAACTTAATTACAATGTTATTTATATATACAGTCCAGAACAAAAAGATAACATATCTTTAAAAAATATATATATTTTATTTTGTGAATAATTTTGGACAGGCATGTATAATTACTCGTGTCTATAAAATTCTGTGAATGTAAATGTAAATATTGTGATTCACAAGCAAGACAGATAGTCACAGTCCTCAAATCTATGCTTCTCAGTTGTGTAGAAACTGTATAATAGTAAACATTCAATGTAAATCATAATTAATACAGTGTGAAATTATATCTTTTAGTGTATTCTGTCAAAAGTAAACATTAATTTATTAAAAATGCGACATAGAAAGAAACTGAGCAAGTATGGGATACATACTGTATTAAAATTATAAAGAAAATGTTACTCGGTAGCACAATAGCACAGTAGCAGTATCATATTCTCACATGACTGCGAGGCAAACTGCTAAAATGTTGGAATAAACACTAATGTGAAGAACATGAGACGTATTTTACAAAACTGTAAACACATAATACAGAGAAAATTATCAAACAAATTTCAATTAAAAGAGGAACATAGAACGTTTACAGTTTGCAGAAAAGTATATCTATATTAGGAAAAAACATTCCAATATTAATGTAGAAAATTTATACCAGTCCAAATATTGCTCACTATTTTCATTGAACTTTTCTGAACACGAAGTATGAAGTCTTCTATAATTTAGTTAAAATATCTACATTTCAATTTTAGATTAGATACTTTTATTATTCTTTAGGAGAAATATTATTACGTTTTAGCAAAAATGACTGTACAATTGTGAAGTAAGAATTATATTTGCTAAATTTATATATATGTATATTATATACACATATACATTGAGTTAAATACATAAAATACATTGATAAATATATAAAGTAATATATGTACATAGAGTTTCATTTTAGTTTCTCCAAACAGATATCTCAAAAAATATAGAAGATTTAGAAAAACATTTTCAATAAAACATTGCAGAATATTATAACAAAACATGCACATTTATGAAATATATTACTTTACATTTATTAATGTATTTAATATATTTTACTGTTCATATTTGTTGTTTATTAAACTTATGTGATGTTAATTAATTTGAAATGAATATGGGAGTTAATTACCAGAATACTTGTCCCTAGAGGAGGATAACTTATAGTCTCTATTTTCTCTCTCCTTCTTATATAGGGGCTTGGATGTGTAGCTTCGAGGACTGTCTCTATCCGTTCCCATGCCCATACCCAAGCCCGTTGCTGGACTGTAAGAGTTGCCATTTGGGGAATCCCGCATACGTGCTTCGTAACGACTATCTGACGACGTCGTCGATGAGGAGTAACCACCCTTAGAACTGCTGTACTTTGCGTTCTGTAAATAGACAAATCAAGAATTATTTACAATTGCTTTCAATGATTCAAACTAACATGAAAAATGATAATCCTTTAGATTACGAGCAAAATTATATCTAACACTATGCAAATGACATTTATCTAAACACAAAAATATACTTGGAATCAATGATGAAGTAAGTTAATAAACCTAACAGGATTATGAAAAAAGAGTTTAAATTCAATAGTCAAAAGAAACAATGATTGTGTCCTCCTTAAATAACACAGACATTAAAAAAAGCTTTTGTTTATGATTCCTCTGAGTTTATTGCCCTGGTATATTGTTCCCTCCATACATAATTATGCATAAAGCTGTTTCTGGGCTTAATTCTTTAATATATTGTTATCTTCATCTATATTATATTGATATATTAATGTCTTTTAAATAATTACTATTTAAATGTATAATTATTTTTTAGAAACAATACGAAAATAATAAATTTTAAAGCTAGTATATAAATCGAAGTTAAATACATAAAGTACAATGAATTCCTGTTATAATTATAACTTTTATAAGCAAATTACTACGTGCAAAATATCTGAAAACACATTCACATAACAGTTCCAATGTACTGTTAGTAATCGACATAATACAAAGGAATGAATTATTGATTTTCTGAAAGTGAGGTTATGTTTACAAGAATAAGAGGGATTTTTATTCCTCGTGTAAAAGAACTATTTCATGCGACCTTATTATTTTTATCAATATCCATTATAAATAATATACTGAAAAATAAACAGTTAGTTTTCATTATTGACAATAATTAATTGAATGGATTCATTAAATATTAACTCAATTGGCAGTTCTACTTTTTTTGCTTACATATGCATGTTCAATTGTTATTTCTTTTATTTCTCCTTTTAAATTTCATTTTAAATTTGTTTTATGTAATATTCCAAGATATTTTATTGTATTGAAAAGTGCTGTATATTTCTTTGTTTACTTTAGTCTATGGAGACTTGATAGTATGAAAGGA